AAACAAAAAATTTGATCCCCAAACCCTAATTTCAGTTTTGGTCCCGTTAGTCAGGAGCTGAAAATGGAGGTCCCCGTTAACCATTTGTGGGTCGGGAAGGCCCTCGCTCGCGTGGGGGCCGACGCGCTCGACATCGGGATATTGGAGTATACACATATTGGCTAAGCCACCAGTACTTGGCCCAGCTATCGACCGACGGAAAAAAATAGAGGGGAATGTTTTTAGTCCGATGAATTTGGGCGTTTTTGTCGTGGCGCATACATTTCCTTAAGTCGCGGCTTGTTTACGGACACGACTTCAGGAAGTAAAAAGTACTGGTGGTTTAATGAGGAGCATTATATCAAAGCATGGCCGGTGTAAACCTAAGGTGGGGAGCAAGGGGTGCGGGGTTAGCCTAGCAAGCTCTCAAGCTCCTCTGGGACAAGTTGTGATTACGTGCAAGAATGCATCCCAGCGACTTCTCATGGAGGTAGGTAAAGCTTGAGTTCGTCAAACACTCCGCTGCGGCGCATGAAAGAAGGGTGTCAGCCCTCCTTGACACCTCCCTTCACAACTTTCATTTCTTCTCAAACATCTTGTTTCTCTTTCTGTACTTGCTTGCCGGAATAAGCAACCGGACTGTCGCCCCAAAATACATATGGCATGTGAGTGGATTAAAAAAAAAGGATATGGCGCTCAAATCAAGACACTCCATCCCTCCATCCATCGCATGAGAAAGCAGTTACAAGCCCATGCACACAATTCGACAATAGAGTAGGAAACGAGACCCAGAAGTACCCCATTAGGACATACAATATCATGCACACATAGATGAGCATCCCTTAGGTGCACGACACTTAACTGAGTGGCCTGAGCTCCAAGATAAAGTATAACGCACTCCTGACCCAATAAGCAACCTCTGCACTAATGTCGATCATGTAGAAGGGTCTACTAAACACACCACAGTACAACGCCGAATTCCCCGTCGATGTTGAAGACCAAAGAAGCAACCTGCAGTCCAATGCAGAAATTGCCACTTCCCTCAAGCTCGACTACTTGAGTGAAACCCTAAAGTCGCTCAGGGTCTCCCTTAAGTCCAGGTGCCAGGAGTTGGTGCCTCTCATTGCCGCCTCTTTAAAATTGTCGCACAAAGTTCCTCCAAGAATCTCACCACCCCAAACTCACACTCATGCAACCTAGGTGGGTCATATGTGGACCCTACACATCCCAGGCAGGTGGGGGCAGCTTCCCCATACCACGCTGACCCACTATGCTCTAAACTACCAGCCCTAACCCTAAGCGGTGTCCTCAACCACTTAGTTTAGGGTTGGGGCAGCAACGTCAACTCTGGCCACCAAGTAGAATCCGCTCTGAAACCAATGTTACGATCCTGGCCAATTGCAAAGTGCAAATACACAAGGAAATACAATGTCGTCCGATTGCCCTTCTTTCACCAACTCACTCCTTCTCCCGATCCCCCTCTCTCTTAATCAAACAATAAATAATTATGATAATAATAACAATGAACGGCTGAACCAGAACCAATGTTTGAATCCCTGGTGCACCATAGCCATGACCTCCATCTCCCTCCACTTCTGATAGGCCATGGCTATTGTAGACTACTAGGGCCCCTGCTCGACATTAAAAGACGATGCAAAAGCAGCTATGTCCTCCACTCTTCAGGCCGCCATGCCTGACTCTGCCTTGAAGCCTTCTTGATGCAGCGCTACCCCAAGTAGGGCCCTCCAGAATCTGATGCAGCGCCTACCAAGGAGATGAAGATAATCTCCACCGTAGCCAGGAAAGTACCTCTGGCTGCCCTCCTTTCCAGTCGCCTTCTCCACTATAGCCCAAGGTGGAACCGGGTGCTCCATTTCCCCAGCATTCAACACAGCGCTCCTACTGAACGCTCCAACAGACAGCCGCTCGCAGCAAATGAGGAGCAACTCTGGAGACATGGCGGTCAGCCAGGCTCTTGGGCGGTGACTCGAGATACGGCGGCCAGCCAGGCTCTTGGGCGGTGACTTCCAGGGCGCACGGCCTCCGGGCAACTGGTACCTACTCCCTTTCAGAGGGAAACATCATTGCGGACCTGATATCTACTGCTACAGGCCCTAGACTCTACACTACCGGACCTCTACCCTTTAAGGTACCAACTTTTTGTCTTCTTCTGCTGGGCCTACTGCTACTCAAGTGCTACCGGCACCAACACTATGCTACTTCAGTGTGCCCTAAGCTATACCCCTTCGGCCACTAGAGTGTTTTTCCCCACTGCAACCCCCAAAGTCACGGCCACAGGTAAGTACAAGCCTCGTGGGCCTTCCAAACAAACAAGTGCCCTAGCGGGCCACACACACAGTCAGGCCGACAACCACTCAGACAGGCACACGGACCAGCAAACACACACACACACACACAAGACTTTAGAAAACTCAGCAAAAAGCAGGAATCACAGCGGGAAAACGCAGGACCAGCATACATTCCAGCGGCAAAACGCAGAAATGAGCTGTGTCTCAGGTCCATGTGACAGCTAAACCAGATTACAAAACCAGCTTGAATCACAGCCGGAAATGAGGGGTACATATCAACATGGTAGTTGCGAACTAGAAAGAAGAACCATGGGGCAGAGACAGCCCAGGAACTAGTAGGATTAACCAGAGTCAAACCAGGAGGACAATCCGAAACCTGATGGAATAAACCCAGCCAATGTGGCTGAATGGTACAACTATATACCAGTTCATCGGCAGACCTGTGTTGCCTGGGACCGGTCACTTCTATGATGATACCTTGGGAGGAAAAAAGCGGGGACAGGAGGAATGGAAAGGATGACACAAGCACTGAGGTGGACCAGACGATGGAATCCACTCGACAAGCTCATGGGGATGATACCCGATGATAGAACCACCTAGATAGTAGAACCAGCCATACAATAGAACCAGACAGTAGAACCAGACAGTGGAACCAGACAGTGGAACCAACCAGATAGTGGATCCAGGCCCAGTGAACAAGCTTAAGGGGATGGAAGCAGATGATAGTACCAACTGGATGGTGAAGTACACGAGACAGTGGAACCAAGCAGACGGTGGAACCAACCAGACAATCAGACCGACCAGATAATGGAGCCAAGTGGATGGCGGAACCAACCAGATAGCGTAACCGTCTAACATGGTAAAACCAACTAGATAGGAGAGCCAACTGGACGGTGGAACCAACCATATGGTGGAACCAACCACATAGTGAACCAAGTAGGCGGTGGAACTAACCAGAGGGTGAAACCATCTAGGTGGTGGAACCAGCTAGACGGTGGAACCAACTAGGTGGTGGAACCAACCAGGTTGTGGAACCAATTAGGTGGTGGAACCAACCAGATTGTGGAACCAACTAGGTGGTTGGTGGTGGAACCAAGTGGACAAACCAAAGGGAGGACCAGAGGGAAGAGGAAGCAAGGAGAGCAAAGAGCCAGATCACTTAACCAGATGTAGGAGCTACACCAGCACCACCAATGTTATCCACCAACTGCAAATAGCCACAGTCCAAGTCCATGGGCTCAGGCAAGCGTCATGAAGGGCGTATTTCGAATTTGCAGACACTGCTTCGCATTCAAACATGAGGGACTCCTTCACAGAGTCCACCAGCTGCAAACTGTGCATTTCACTTGTTGATCAAAAAGGGCAAATTCGAAATTGGCTTTCATTCTATCTAATCTTTAGGAGTCCTGGCACATTGCAGTTCCAGTTCTGGTTCCAGTTCCACTCATGGAGTTCCTGTTCCCAATCCATCCATGCAGTTCCAGATCCAACCAGTCCCAGCCATGTGCTGAAGGAGGACCCAGAAAAACAAAATATATTGCTACAAAAGGAATTTGAGGACGAAAGAGACATATGACGGTCAGAGGCATAAAAGAGAGGGAAAAAAAAGAAAAAAAAAGAAGAGGACAGTCGCATGCCCCACCAAACTGACTAACTATACATGTGTTACCAAATTATCACAGAGATGTGGAGGCTCCAGCAACTGTGGCACTGTTTCCTTCTGTCAAAGTCGGAACAAACTCCGATCTTCGCTGTGGTCCCGACGGGCCCATACCCCTGATCCCAGGGGATAAGGCACCTGTCATGTTGTGTGCTGTGTCGCAAGCATTGTCAACTGTGCCAGTGTCTATTTCTGTACAAGTCTCTCTCTATAGGACTAAATTGGCCCACAGCCCCATCTTCCCGCCTTACAGCAGGTGTTCGCCTCAAGCGGGAATCAGGTGATTTCAGATGAAGAGTTCAAGCATGCAAACCTTGCAGTAGCGCATGCTGCGGGACAAAAAAAAAACAAAAAAAACAGGCATGTCACAAGCCCTGTGCAGTGTGACATCATGGCATGGCCTCCACGTCCACGCATCCCACTTTTATAAACCCCTACATCCCTGTGCATCAACCTTCACAGATGACAACCAAATTATGCCTATGATTTATTACACAGTTTTATGAACTTCTGCTGCTATAATCCAGCATATCGCTTTCTAATAGCGTCTACATCCTTCTATGTTACAACTTCGCCCCGTCATCAAGCAGCACTCAACTAACCCTCATGGTCCTGTCTTCTAGTGACTGCAGCACTCAGGAAGACACAGATCAACCGCACTCCCACTGTCTCTTGCGGGCATGGCATTCCTCTGGCTCGGAAACAGGCACCAAAACAGCAACGGAAACGCCGAAACGCCATGTATCGTCAGCTGGCAGACTGATCCTTATCAAAACTCTTAGCGACGGTGGGACTAACGAAGTCGATGCGCATCAACCCTCTACTTAGACAATCCAAGAAGGCACACCATATGTCATCCCTCCTGCCGGCTGATTTCGGCTTTCTGCAGAGCATCGAGGAAGTAGCGGTTTGCCGGGCACTCTCCACCAGGAAGCAGCCATGCCATTTCTCCAAACTTCGAAAATTTCCATCGGAACGGACAAATCATAGGTGCAAAGACTCGAGAATCCTTCCCATCGGAGCAAGGAGAGAATCGCAGTAACTTCAGCCCGCAAGGCCCATTCCAGTTCCACGCCCCATTCCAGTTCCAAGCACATTCCAGATCCAGGCCCATTCTCCAGTTCCAGGCCCATTTTCCAGTCTCGGGCCTTGCCAAGGAAACAGCTTTTGAAACCTTATTTGCGCTCCTTCTGGGCAATGAAGTGAATTCCCGCAACCGGAAGACTGAGCCCATATTGCGATGCGAAGTTCCGCGTGTTGAAATTTGCACGCTGAGCTGGGGGGGCTATGTCGATAGGTCCTCCCCGTTGCCTGAAAAGCAAGAAGATGTATCTGTGCATGCCAACTGGGGGAGTGGGTCCTGCGTACTGCACGACGGTTGTTCCTGCAAGGCATCACCATCAACACAGAAAATCCGGAAGAAAAAAGAAAACATTCTTGTTTTCAGTTTTCATTTTTGCTTAACAGGCACTAGGGGACCTGTTGCGGTTACGCCCGCATTCAAAATGGAATGTTTGCCAAGGAGTCGAAGTTGATGGACTCTCTCTCTCTCTCTCTCTCTCTCTCTCTCTCACACACACACACACACACACACACACACACACACACACACACACACACACGAAGATGGCCATGGACTCTCTCTCTCTCTCTGGTTCACGCACAGGCTTGCGGATTATCCAGTGTTTTTTTTTTTCCCTTTTTAATTGGTCACGATGGACCATCCTGCTCAAGCCCGTGTC